GAAACAATGTTCCACATTCCACGAGTTTAAAAATTAGGATAAAAAGACCCCCAAGAATAAAACACTGTTCAATTAACTTTGGGACTATTTCAAAGAACAGAAGAAGTGGTAAATATAATGAATTAAGTCACTTCTAAGGAAAAAAAAAAATCCTACTTCTAGTTCTAGTTAAAGATTTAAAGCACTGGCAGGTAACACATGCAGAGGGCTTTGTAATGTTTCTTAAACTAATTAAGAAAAATAATCCGAGTCTGTACTGTCCAGCATATAGTTATTACCATCTCCTTGCTGAGAGAACTGCATCACAGAGAGAGGAGGAGATGGAGGAATACCAAGGCAAGGCCTGTGTATCCAATGTGGCTACAGTCCTACCAAGCCATTGCTGTTTTCTTTTTTTCCCATACTGTACACCAAGCCCTTTCATCCCAGAGTGCCCATCTATTTTCAAATTAACCACTATCTACATCAAGAATCCTCTAAATATTCCAGGCACATTGAAGTTCAAGACAGAATGGGGGGAAACAACTAAATTTCTATTACAATGTGTTCAAGTGAAAAAAACAAACTCATGGTGACTTGCTAAATGCTGACTAGACCACAAACTATAATGCAAAGGACTGTTTGGGGCCTTAAATAGTCAGCAGCTGAACATAGTTACTACTGTTTGTAGTGTGGAAACAGTTAAAAAGGACATAGCAAAAGGCTGCTTAGCCATTTCAACATGCTCAAAATAGTCTTTGGCATTACATGCAAATCCCCTTTAACGACACACGGCTGGATTCAATGCTAGGTACTTTTGACTACGTATGACTTGCTGATTTTGATGGTCAGTTCTTTCTTTTCAACTTTCCTCCAAGATTTCAAACTATGTATCAAACATTATCGAATGCCTATTTTGTCTAAAATAGCATAGCTGTGTAACTTCGGGTAAATAATGTCTCTGTGCCTAGTTTTCTCACCTATATAATGGAGATATTAGCACCTATCCTCAGAGTTGACATAAGGATTAAATAAAATAGTGCACTTAAGTACTTAGAAGAATGTCTGGCACATAGTAAGACCTCAAATGTAGTTTATTATTATTATCTCCTTTTCTGTTTAATAATTGTTTCCATATGAGCACTGCATGAATTATTAATTCATTAGTTCTCACAGTGACTGTTATTCAAGTGTTTATATAAATTTAACTCCCCAATTAAAGGGTAGAATTTATGAGAACACGGACTATATATCTTATTCTTTTAGAGGCAATATAGTACAGTGATTAATTACATATACTCTGAGTCAGACCACCCAGGCTCAAGTTCTAGCTCCACTTCTTATCAGCAAAGTGACCTGGGGCCAAGTTATTTTACCTCTATGCCTCATTTCAATGATTCGCACCATTATCTACCCAGAAACTCCAAGACAGAAATACGGAAGTCATCCTAGATACCTTCCTCTCTATCCCTCATCCTCCTTCCACACCATCCAATTACCAACCCCTATGATTCTATGCTTTTGAACATCTCCACTCTCCATCCTGGGTTTCTTCGTTTTCACTGATATTCCAGGCTTTCATCCTCTCTCACCTACACCACTTAAAGCAGTCTTAAAGGACATATAGGACTTAGAAATAGGCAGAAGTTGTTGTAGGCTCGTATAAAAGTGTGCACCAAGAAACTACGAAAAACAAGAGAATTCAAGGGGCAATGCCAAATTAGTTGGGCTAGAATGAAGAGTTATAGAAAAGGGTGATATTATAATGTGAAGTTAGAAAACTAAACAGGTTAAGTTAAAATTCTCTTAACTTGGAATGTGGGTTTTGCATTCCAAGCTAGAGAATTTGAACTTAATTCCTCTAGGAATTATTTCTCCTTTTTCAATGGTAAGATACTCACTACTAGTCCTGACATCAATTAACTATAAAATGCCTTGCCTATATTTCCATCTTTCCCCCTCCCCATTCTCAAATAAATGGAATACACTTAAATCTGTATGTTATAATAATACTACCTCTCTGGATTGTGCTATAAAAACAGACAAAGTGCAGTGCCTCCCATTAGCACATGCTCACAAAAAATATATATAGTCTTCAGACCATGGGAAAGAACTAAAGTTCCAAATAATGTATGATTCAGGTTTCTGGAACTGATAATCCACTCAGAAAAGAACAGTTTGTCTTCTTGCTATAGGTAAGATCTTTTATCACTTAAACATAGCCAATGGTCTGCTAATAGCAAATTCTTAGGAACATCCCCTACTTTACATACTAGTCATATTAATGTCAGACTTTAACTTTTTATAGATGTATTTTTATAGCTTATGGGAACTACAATGAGATTCTTTGCAAGTTTAGACTCTTAGCCTTTGGGAAGACACAGATCCTTTTGAGATCCTGATGAAAGCTTTGGAGACTATCCCCAGAAATATTTACAAATGAACATACACTAAATCTTGCATTTTATTTCAAAGAGTTCATGAACCCTTAAACCTCCTTTTACAGATCACAAGAATACCTATTCTACAGGATTGCTATTTTTCATAAGAAAAAGGTAGTTATGATTCTGTACTGACAGGGCAGGTATTTCAAACTGTTTTTTTGGTGGGTTTTTTTTTTTTTTGGTAGGGACTGACTGATGGATTTTTACTGATCCCTCCATTCTCTCATCTAGTTCTTCTTTTTATCAATGTTATATTGTCTATGACCACGTAATAGAGAACAAAGCTAACAGAGTACCTGGAAATCAAATTTATGACCTTGCCCTCATTAAAACTATACTCCCAAGAAATGAGCTAACTATCCAGAACTGGAAATACAGCCATAAAAGCAAATGTAACTAGTGTTTATTTACAATCCATACCCCATTAACACTCCTACTTGGTGCCAACAACCTAAATCCACAGAAAAGAATGCTGCATAAGTTTTCCCGTACTCAATGTGTAAACATATGAGCACAATGATGACTAACCCGCCTAAGAAATCTCCACGTGCAAATGATTCCCATATCTGAATAGTACCAAATCCTCAAACTTTAATTTCTTTCAATACTGACCTAAACTTCTTGTAGAATCACAAGTATATGAGGCCATCTAGTGGATAAAATACAGAAACACACAAATTCTTAGCTAGCTGAAGGCAGAGTTTAGGTCTCCTCCAAATGCCCAGTTCAATATCTTGTTTACTAAACCATGCAGCCTTCTCAGAGATTAAAAGCCTGATTCTACTGCTAAAACACACCTAGTAGACAAGAAATGAACCAAATTATTTTAAATACTGACCATTCCTTAAAAACAAAAAAAGCTCATAGCCACAAATATCTCAGAATAAAATGGCATCAAGAAAGTTTCCCGGATTTTCTTCTTCATTACTAGTGGTTATATGAAACCAAAAGCCTTGAAGACAGGTGTTTTCATAATTAAAAGTATAAGAAAAAATAAGTATCAGATGGAATTGATATATAGATGTCCTCCCTAGTTAAGACTACACCACATATTAGTCATCTCTGCAATGTCTTCAGAACCAAGGACAATTCCTAACACACAGCATGTGCTTAGAAATTATAATCTGAATTAAAACAAATTATATGATACAAGTTCCACTCAGGTACCTTTAGTGGGTGCAGGTTGTATACTGATAATTGGCTGCTGTTTTGTCAATGGCATAAGTGTTGGTAGTGTCTGAATAATGATGGTTTTCGCTGGAACGCTGGAGTTTGTTTGAGTCTTGGGTGCTGCTGGAAGCAATAAAGGCTTGGGCTGAATTGAAGGTTTTGAATTCAACTGAATTTTTTTCTTTGGAGTCAGTCCATTTTCTAGAAAAAACAGACAAACCATAAATCAATTAAGCAAGTCCTAAAAAGCAAATTCTATCACATACCTTTCTCTACGCATTATCTTGACTTCTGAGTAGTTTAAGCATAGCTAATCTGCATATACCTGAATGGATTAAAGAAAAGTCCTCAAACTGAGATCTTTTTTGATCAAGATGCAGTTCGGAAAGGAGGAAACATGAACGGGTAAGGGAAACGGCTAAAAACACTGAGTAAGCATTGAGATTAATGGAGTAACAAATGTCATAGTTGAATGCCCCTCACACTCTATACCTTTAACTGAAACTCTGAAATCTCTCCTGACAATAATGGAGTCTGAGTCTATTTTAAAGTATTTTTCACCTATTAAGACAGAGACAACTGAAGATTATTTCTTCCCTTTCCTCTCCACGGTAATCACCCATAATAAACAATACAGGTCCAATAATTCGAAAACAGCAAGTGAGCTTAATAAATATATGCCTAATCCAACATTTTCTTTTAAGAAATGAAACCTAAACTATTTCAAAATAGAAATAACAGAAGTAATACCAGTTTTATTCCTAGGACCAATCACAGGCTTATCTTCCTTCAGTGGCTCTGCTGAAGAGGGACTATTACAGCTTTCACCATATAAGGAAAGGGGAGACATCTGGGAACTAGAAGACAAATCCAACTCCTCCTGTAGCAAAATAAAACAAAAAATTAATGCAGAAAAGTATAATCCTTGAGCAGCAAATTGCTTAGAAAGAGGAACAAGATCCAAAAATATTTCACGGCAACTTCAAGGGAAAGGTGTGATACATTAGAAACTAAATCTATATATTAAGTACTAAGTGAGTACGGATAAATCAACATTATCCATCAATATCAAAGGCACAATAGTTCAAAATGCAGAGTAAGTCTATAGCATCCTCTTACATTAAAAATGTAAATCATTGATTGCTTCATTAATTTATTCTTAATATCTACTTAGCATGTAGCCAGACCCTGGAGCTATATGAACCTTGAATCTTGCAGAGTATTTATAAGAAACCAAAGAGTACAAGACAACAACACTGGAGGAAACTGTTATCTTCATGGCCTTAGATGCTTAAAAGGTATTTTATAAAATTCAACAAGTATTCCTCAACAAAATACTAGAAAACAAGAATTAGAGGGATATTTTCTTAACGTTAAAAAAAAAAAAAGCTATGAGTAATTATACAGCCAACATCATACTTAATGGTGAAACATTAAGTGCATTACCATTAAAGTCAGGATAAGAAACAGACACTCGCTTTTTCTGTAATTCTAGCAATTATTCTAGAAAATGAAATTAAAGAAATAAACATTAAAATAGAAGAGAAAGAAGTGCCTTTTTGTAAGGTGATATCCTGTCTACTTGGAACACACATAAGAATCAAATGAAAAAATATTTGACTATGAAAATATTATATAAATACTCAGAAAATGTAATAAAAGATAAATATTTCACTCAAAATAGCAATAACAATTATGGAATACCTAGGAATTTTCTAAAAATGTGTAGGACTTACATGAAGAAAACTATAAAATAACTAAGAGGCACAAAAGAAGATCTGAGTAAACAGAAAGACATACAATACTCTTTAATAGAATGATTATAAAAGATAATATAATTGGGAAAATTGGTTCACTTATATAGAGAAAATTAAAACTACTAATAGATCCCTACTTAACACCACTTATTAAAATCAAATTCTGAAGGTATTAATAAATCTGAATGTGAAAGGTAACTTTCTTCTATAGTTAATAGAAGAAAATGCAGGGGAATATCTTTGCAGCCTACAAGCATAGAAGGACTTCTTACAATTTCAAAAATAAACCATAAAAGAAAGGAAAAA